CTTTGGGGTGACAGGGCCCCCCCCCCCCCCCCCCCCCCCCGCTCCCCGCTCTGGCGTACACAGAGAGCACTGGCAAGTGCTCTCGGGGTAGTGGCTAGCAGGGTGGAGGCCGTCACCGCGGGAGCGAGCAGCGGTTTCGGCTCCTTGGCGGGAGCGGCGGCGACCTTAACCGGGGCCGGCGATGGCGGCTCGGGGCCGGGCGGCGGCGGCGGCGGTGGCGGGATGTCGCCGGAGCTGATGGACGACCTGTCGAAGCGGCTGACGACGGTCGAGATGAAGGGGATCATCCAGCTCACGGAGCGAGGGAGAAGGATGGAGGCGAGGGCGGGGGCCTTGCAGGCTGAGAAGGAGGACCTCTTCGCCAGGCTGCAGGTGAAATTCGAAAATATTAACGCGATTCCGATTTTATTCTGTTCGTTGATTGGTTGGTTTGAGTGTGACCCGCGATCCGATGCATGCTATGGTACTGTTTGTCGATTGGGTGTTGGAGTGTGTCCACACGACGGCACCCCCGTCCCCTCTCTTGAGGGCTGCCGCCTCTCGCAGCAAGGCGTACAAGCTGTCGAACAGATGTGCGACCCTTGCATCGCCGTAAGATGGTCGTGGGGCAGGAGTGCATGCTGGGGTCCAGTTTCTCTCGGTACCGAAGTGGAGGAGTGGACGCGACCTCCGGCGGTAGGAAATCGAGTGAGAAGTGGTGCCGAAGGTAGAATGAGCGAAGTTGTTCTTGGGGTCTGCTCGATCCCCTAGCTGGTGATAGATACCAAACGCCTTGTCTGTCTCGATCGATCGATTTCCCCCCCCTAAGCGTGTTCTTGTTTTTTGTGTGTGTCGTTGTTCCTGGCTTGACAACTTTCATGGAAACAACAATGCTGTCGCTATCCCGGCTGGGCTTGGCTGCTTCGCAGGGCACCCAGTCAAGTTTTGGGCAGTTCGTGGCTTGACAAATGTTCGTGGTATGATGCCTTAACGTTGTCGTTGTTGTGCCGGCGTGGCGTGGCTTGGCAGGGCACGGAGAGCGTGAAGGAGTTCCTGGTGGCCAAGCTCAAGGACACGGAGGCCGCCCTTAAGCGCAGCCTCGACGAGAAGGGCCTGACGCTGAGGCAGTCGGCGTCCGACCAAGAGGTCATCTCCTTCTTGGACTCCAGGACACAGGTATACCGCTGCTTGCTGTTAGATTTCTGTGTGTTTGAGTGTTCTCCTCGGTGATGCGTTTGTGCGCGTCCTGATGCCCGCCGCCGTCTGTGCATATAATAAGATTTTACCATGCATGTTGCTTCTCTGTGGCCCTTATCTAGCGCTCGTTTGTCTGTGCCCGTGTGCTCGTGATTCTCTAATGGTCGCATGTTGTTCCACCGCTCTCGGGTCATTTACGGCGTGCATTCGTTTGCTGCTGTCTTGGGAGCAGGAAATGGAAAGGGTGGCGCAGGAGACGATGGACAAGGCCATGACCTACCAGACCGAGCTCGAGGACCAGAAGGCTAGCGGCCAGAAGCAGGTGCGACCACGCCAACACAATCCCGAAAGCAGGAAAGGTTTCGATATGTCCTCTTGTCTCATTCGGCGCTTGTGTGTCCCCTTGGGGTCTTTACGTTCTCTGCGTGTGAACGAAATAGTGTATGTTGAATGTGGTGGTGGTGGTGGTCCTGACCACGACAACCCGCCTCAAGCCAAGGGAGGTTGGACATGACAACCCGCCTCTAGCCAAGGGAGGTTGGACATGACAACCCGCCTCAAGCCAAGGGAGGTTAGACTGGAACAGGGAGACAGGGAGTGGGTGACCAAAACCCTTGGTTGTCTTGTTTTGTTTTCAATGACTGGAAAGGATTAACCACGCAGGCAGCAGTGGTCATGCGAAGAAACAAATGCGGATTATTGTTCTGGTGGTGAAATGAGTTCGTGCTCTCCTGTGTAGCACCGACCCTCCTTGTGCCGGATCTACGGTAAGCAACTATCAACCACGCTTGGTACACACACGTCCAAACCTGGAAAACGACCTTACGTACCTTGTTTTGATTCGCGTTGTACAGTGACACCTAGTACATCTTGGGCACTGCTCGTTCGACGACCGCGTTTTGAAGTCCTCTTTTGTCTCTTTCGGAAGGGATTTACTTGACACATCTCTTGCGCCTTCTGGTGTTCGCCGTCTGCCCCCGCCACGAAAATCGGCGCCAACCCGACCCCGGGATCGGGCCTTGAACCACGGGACTTGTCGACGTCATGGTTGGGTGTTGGCGGAACAACCAACAGACCAAGGTCCTGGAGGACATGCTGAGGTTCGAGAAGCAGCGGGGGGAGGCCGGCGAGGCCGCCTTCAAGGCCCAGAAGAAGCTCCTTGTGACCGAGGTGAAGAAGCTGAGGACGACCAACCTGGCGCTCAAGGCCGAGTGCGACGACCTGCGGCAGCAGCTCAAGGACCTCCGCACCTCGGTGTCGCAGCTCGGCCGATGACATGGCGTTGGGGTTGTTGTTGATTGGGAGGCACAAGGCCGTGGTGCATTGCGGCGCGTCCACCCGTAACACAAGGTTTTCCGAATGGGCGGCACGCACACCCTAGAGTGGCATTTTTTTTTACTCGTTTTTCGCTCCGCGGCCACGAGGGTGCGACTAGCGACGTGATGCATGCGAAGCTAAGCTCAGGCTGTCCCTTTTCGGTGTCGGCGTCCTTTGTGGGGAAAATCAATCGAGGCGTGAAAGTTGGTCTAGGTGTGTGTGTGTGCAATGGCTCCACCTTTCAAGGTATAGCACCGAGTTAGTCGCTATTAGAGCAACTCTAAATGCGCTGTTGTCGTGCAGCTTTTTCATGTGTGTGCCGCTCCGCCTTTCACCGTGCCTGGGGTAGTGGGGGAGTTCAGCAACGCACTTGCACCGGGCAGCATCGCGCTTTTTTTTGTCGCTAGACTAAAGGTGTAACCTGCTGGTGTAATACGACTGCTGTGTCCTGTTTTGGTACGGGGAAACTCAGCTCGTGTAGACTAATATAACGGTACGCCGGTGCCGTCGTCGTGTGGCGGCGCAGCTAATAATGTAGACAGAATATTGACATGTTACGTGCATTTCGTTGTCCGCGCTGTCGCTCGGATGTTGCCAGCGGGATGGAAACGGCCTGATTCTGAAGACAGCTGTATATCATGATTCCATGTGGCACCATTTGTCGCTACATGATGTCGCTATTGGTAAAACAGATTGTGGCTATGTTTCGACAAATTTGATTCGACTCTCAAGCATCGTGGCACCCCGCGGGCCACTACTACAACAAGTGGCGACTTGAGATTTTGCTGCAGCTCGGGCGAGTACTGGGTGAAGCAGACCGGATTGTGTAGAAGGGGGGCGTGGTGTCACCGCAAACGTGGATAGAATGGCCAATGAGTTGTCCAAATGCTGAGGAGGTGTTGGCGTGCCGTGAGGATCAGTGGCGAAGGCAAGCGTGTTCACGTTTTTGTTAATCTTGCTTCGCATTTATAACGTTGGGTGGGTGATGCTGAAGTAAAGAAGATCGCAGATGTGCTGTGACGTTTGGTCGTGACACGTTCCCCGTTTCTGTGTGAGGTCGCTTCGTTGCTGCCGTGTTTAGTGTTTAGTAAAGGTATGTCCGTGCAAGCCGTTCGTTGTGTCGTTGTCGTTAAGTTGTGTACTGTTGGTGCTGTGACATTTTGCAAGCGCTTCGCCGTGCGGGGCGAGAAACCATTGTCGGAGTTAATCCGATGGCATCACGTGTGTGTGTCGGGATTTGTAACGGTCCAGGCTCACCCTTACCTGTAGTTCTGGTTGGTGTATGTGTGGGCTACATGGCCATCGCGAAAACTAATTTAACCCTCTTGTCTGTTGCTCCGGTAAATGGCAGTACTTACTCAGGCACGCCGTAAGCTCTTGTACCACTTCAAGTCTCGGGTGCTTGGTGTGGTATTCTTTGTGAGGGGGCTCACAAAGCTGATAAATTAAGTGCTTCTTGGTGCTTCGCCGTAAACCGTGCCTGCTATCTATACGCCAACACGGGTGTATTATTCGTCTGCACTGCTAAGTGCTTTGAGCACAGAGAAAATAGTCTTGCACGAAAATCGTTCGTGCTATATGCGCCCTCTTACTACAGTACACCACATGGTCTACAGTCACGATCCAACCGTCAAATAGATATATCCTAAACGTGGGACGAACACACGTACACACAGCAGTGGCGCATGTTTCTGTACGGCGAGAAGAATTCAGCCCTTCCTTTCCTTCGTCGACAATCAAGTCTTGTGTTCATCATTTTCCACCTTGTGCATGTTTGTGAGAAGCAACGAAGACATATCAGTCAGTTCGTGCTGCGCCGAGGAGATTCAAATCGATTGATCGTCGAATCGTTGATCGTGGACGAAAAAAAAAAACAGAATCCAAACGGTCGGTATTCCACCGCACACTTGAAGGTCGACCGTCGAGCGGTCCTGGACAGAGGCCACCCTCTTCTGAGGTTTGAGATGGGGTGTTTGAAGCCTAATGGGTGGTGAGCTATTGCGGCACCGAAGATCATCGGCGCGTACCTCTTTTTAATGTTGGTGGTGCTGTCTGTCGTGTAGCATAGCGTCTGCAATTTGTGCTGCATGCCAACGTGTTTGTATGTGTCGTCATCCAGAGCAAGTCTCTACACAGCTTGAGCTGATGCATGGCAGGTTGGGTCGAGCTACAGTACTGTTACTTGCTAAAGCGGCCAGTACCGAGGGAGAAGATGCACCTAGCAGATGCTTTATCAAGAGCCAAGGTTGACTTTTGGTAAAATAGCAAAGCTTCATCAATGGCTACGTGGGGAAAGACGGAGAGAGACCGCATGCCGGAGATGTCGGCGGTAGGCCTCCCACTGGAGTTGGGGCCTTCACAAGAGCTAGGCCTCGTACAGGAACTCGGCCTCCACGGGGTTCCAGCACAGAGCCTTATCGAGTTCGAAGGTGGTGGCAGCATGCTGTCTCGCGAGGTTCTGGGAGAGATGTTGGCCGTCAACGACCATGGTGTTCTGAACGCGCGGGTCGGGGCAACGGAGAAGTCCGACGGCGGTCGCAGCAAAAGAGCCAGGAGAAGAGAAGGGGCGAGCTCGGCGAGAAGCCGGGGGAAGGGAAGCGATGGCAAAGTTGTAGAGAACAGGATACAGACACGGCTTCTTTGCCAGGCCGAAGCGCCCAAGTGCTTGGGGGAGTCATCATCGTCGCCATCACGTGTTTTCGCCAAAATAGATCCTAGGAAATCGACGAAGAGATGTCACAACAATGGGGTGGAGAGCCGGCAGCGACATTACCATGACCAACAAGCTCTGCTTGCGGAACAGCAGCGTGCGAAGCAAACTGCACTTATCGATGGTGACGGAATGAACCGCCAAAGGGCGACGGCTACCGCCCACTGTGAGGCCCAGCAGAAGGTGGCCGGTTCGCCCAACAAAAGGAGACGGCACAAACGCTACGACCACGATCACAATCCCAAGGTATTGCGCAGTCTCGTGGACGACACAATCATCACCGGAATAGCCGGGGCGGGCGCTCTCAAGGCCGAAGAGGGGAGGCAAATGGAAGATCTCAGGCTGCAGCTACGTCTCGCTTGCCACCGGGCTACGGAGCTGGAGGATCAAATTTTCCAGTCTCAGACGGGCTCGCCTCACCGCGAACTGCTTGGCGAATTGCAACTGGATAGAGCAGCAGGCAACACCGGCATCCCACTGCTTGAACGACCCAGTTGGAAGGAAAGAAATTTTGTCTTGGGTCCGACGGGAAGTGGAGCGAAAGCCCATAGAAACACCGATGTACTCGAACGGTGCCGTTCTCCTGACGGTGCCGGCGGGCGAAGCCCCCTGCGACCGCGCCACCGGGTGTCGCCCAGGAAGACCAGACGAACACCCCTAGACGTGTCCTTCTCGACCGAACCGCCACAGCGTCTTGCAGGAAGCAGCAGTTTGGCGACCGACATCATCCCAAGGCGGCAAGCGAACGTGTCGGACATGGTGACAACATGTCACCCCCCGCAGTCGCCCCCGCTCACGCCCACCGCTTCGTTGCGACGGTACTTGTCGTCCCTACGACCGTTCTCGGCCAACAGCGCCCGAGCGGCGTGGGGGCTGGCCGACCCCGCTAATGGCGGCAACCCGCTTGCGGGACCCGTTACAGATCTCACCCACCCGTTCGATAACGGCCAGCCCAGATGGCCGGTGCTTTTTGTCATGGGGGAATCGAAACCGCCGCCGCCCAGGCATCCACTCAGCGTGCACGCCTTGCCCCTGTTTGACGACGAGATGGTGGCCCTGCTGGCGGGGGCGGCGGGCGAGCCAGCCGCGAAGGTCCGCATGATGGTGCAACTTCTCTCGTGCTTCGACGTCCGCCTCCTGCAATCCGCCGTGAAAAGGCTATGCTGTGAACATGCTAGCTCCCGAACTCTTGGGGGGGCGGCACGCGGAGGCAGAGGGCGACACCTGCAGCGGAGCGGGGCCCCAGGACCAGCTACGGAGGCATGGGGAAGAAGCCCAATGCCGCCGTTGCCAGGACCATCGGCCGCGGGTGATGCTGCTCACTCATCGACGAGCGTCGACGAGCCCCTACTAATGTCGGAAGCGGCGGCACGGCGCGCACTCACCGCGGGGTTCTTGGGCGGTGTTTTCGGGGAGGACGCTGTACGAGATATCGTTGTCGCCTCTCGACCGGTTGTGGTGTTCGACTCGACGGAATCGGCGAAAGGGAAGGCGCTAACACCACCATTACAAGGCGGAGCCGTCGGGGGCGAGAGGCAGAACGACCGGGGTGATCGGCCAGAGGGCGGATCGAGTCGGGCCCCGTCTTGGAAGATTGGGAAAAATGCGGAGCAAGACAGCTCAAGCCGAGGCGGAGAAGATGAAGCAGCTGCCACCGCTGCTAACGAAGATGTTACATCCTCGCTACCGAGCGTAGAGCATCGACGAACATGGGAGGAGCGCAACGGTTCCTCAGAAAATCGTAGGGCACAGGGCGACTCACCGCCGTGCACCGATGCCGGCTCGCTTCTCGTTAACTCGCCGCGACGAGAAGGAGGCACGGCTCTAGGCAAACGACAGCTAGAGGTGTCCGAACTCGTGGAACACGACAGCAACCCCGAAGAAGGGGTTCTGGTGGCGCAGCTCGTGCGTGCAGCCACCGCCAGGTTCAGGGTGCACAGCCTAGCTGTCCAGCACCACGAGCACGGCGGTGTTACCGCTACCAACCACAGAGACTTCGGACGAGGGATTTACATCGGTGGCTCTGGCGCCAGCGGCTGGACGGAAGGAGGCCAAGAGCCAGGACAGAGACTGCGTCGGCCAGCATCGGCAGGGAGCGATGAACTCGGCCTCCCTCCCCTTAAATTGGCCAGGAAGGACAAGAGGACGAGGCGGAGGCGGGAGGCGGATGCTGGGCGGCGAGAGGAAGAGGTGGAGTTCGACGTGTTCGGGGTCCCTCGGCCACGATCGACCCCGCGATGCTTACGCCCAGGCTACAAGGTATGCGGACGAGGTCTTCGGTGGTGCTCGTTCGAAAAGCCAGTGGTGTGGTGCGCCGTTTGGCTCCGCGTTGTACATACGTTCCTCTTCTTCTACTGGCGCGTTCGTTGCAAGGGTTAGGGTTCCAATAAATGTTTCTATGGCTTCGTGACAATTCTCCCGATGTCAGTCGACTACAGGCGAAATATTATTGTTTCCATGCTCGCTTCATGGTGGTCGCCGCCACCCTCAACAATTTTATAGAGTCTGTGCTCGGAAGTCTCTTGTTAATTTGTCCTTCCCCGAGTTAATGCTCGCGTCTCTGTAAAAACACTCAGGGAGAAGTGACGGCCGCAATGCTCCGGCAAGAACTGGAGGCCTCAGAGAGCACAGCGGCCCGTCTCGGCATCACGATGGCGCGGAAGGCGGAGGCTTGGAAAACGGAAGCCCAGGAGGGGACTGCCGCTGCGGCCGCCTCGTGCGCCGCGGCCACCGCCGCCGCCAACCGCGCCGCTCTCGCCCTCGCGAGTGCCGCCGCGCACGAGGCCCTCCTCGAGTCCGCACACGACCGCATGCGCGAAGCCATGAACATCATGTACCTCAGGACCATCCGTCGGGGCTGGGGCGCCTGGGCGGAGCTGACCCGCCGGCAGCGATCCATTGAGGCCGCCGGGCGCGTCGCCCGGCTCGTCGGCGCCGCGGCTATCGGCTTCGCCGTGCTAGAGCCATTCTTGCGGCGGCGGACACGGACATGGCTTCGCCGGTGGGCCGGGGCGATGCGTGCCGAGAGGGTGCTTGAGGTCCAGGCAGCGGCCGTGGAGTTGCAGAGAACGGTCCGAGGTTTCTTGGGGAAGCGGCGGGCGGACAAGAGGTGGCGCGACATCGCTGCCGTAGCCGTGCAGAGGGTGGTCAGGGGCCGCTTCGGGAGGCTGAGGGGCGCGCGTAGGGCGAGGTTGATGGAAGAGCGGCGGGCCGTTCTTACGATAGAGCAGAAGTACCGCGAGTTCGTGTGGCAGAGGGACGCCGTCAAGCTGTTGGCGCTGAAGAGGAAGGAGCGCGCGGCGACGAAGCTGCAGGCGGCGTGGAACGGCCTGGTGTACGGTCGCCGGCCAGTACGAAGGCTGCGGGAGCAGCGCTTGAGAGAGGTCTCCGCCGTCATGCTGCAGAGGCTGTGGCGGGGCGTCGTCGCGCGCGGCAGGGCGGATGTGTTGATGGAGGCTAAGTGTAGGCGGGAGGCGGCGGTCAAGATTCAGGCGGTGGCGCGGGGGTGCGGGTGAGCTCCAGAGCGGAAAGTTGGTTGTCCGGCTATGAAGTGTCCGATCCAAGTTTCAAGCAACCCTTGTTTTGTTTATTGTGCCGAAAATCGACTCGTGAGGCTGATTTGGTATTCAACACTTCCTGAAGCAATACGTGCTACATAAAAAGAGTCACGCCGCTTCTTGAGAAATGACGAAGCAAGGTCACGACTTCGTACTCCCGACTTTCTTGTATTTTTTTTGTCACATGCTCTTGGCGCAACGCGTGGTGAATCACGGACAACGGCTTTGATTTCACGGAGTTGGTACGTTCGTTTCGGCCTTGGACACACATGTACCGTTTGGTGTCACGACTGCAACTGGTTCTCGTTTTACGAAGGGCGCGCAAGGTGTACCGCCCCATAATCCTGCGAGAGAGAGCTGCCGCCACCATGTCCCGGTTCTGGCGCTGCGCTAAGGCTAGGAGAGTGGCGCGGCAGAAACGGTGGGAAAACGCCTTGGCCGCGCGGCTGAACCCCCTGGTCAGGGGTTTCTTAGCGAGGAGCGCGACGAAAAGACTACTTGAGGCGCGAGCTCGTGAAAATCGCGCGATGGTCGTGGTGAGAGAGAGAGAGACCGTAGTCATAGTACAGTCACAGAGATAACTCCCTTGTTCAACACGTTTCTTGCTGCTCTTTTCGAGAGTTCTGGGCTCGTACCTGACGTGCCATTCCGCGTGTCTGTCAGGTCTTTAGCAGAGGGAAACTCTTTCCCAGGCTCTGCAGCACGTCTCCACTCCAACACCCATTTAATGCTTGTGCGCACACTCGTGTCATGTCCGTGGCCGCCCGCCGTCCATCACGCCTGATTCGTTTTCAAATGGCTCCTGGGATACATTGGCACACGCGCAACTGCTTCTTTTTGTTTTCGCTGAAAGTTGTTTGCTCAGAGTCATCCCTTCGTCGCCGGCGTCTCTGTTGTGTACCATTTTGCCGTGCCAGGTCTGTGTGGCTGCCCAAAAGATATTCCGGGGGAAAAAGGGCCGATTGAAGGCTCGAAGGGAGCTTCTACGTCGGTGTGCCGCCGTGGAGGTACCTAGAGAAACGTTTTTTCGCCCCTGCTTCCCTCTTTGTGGTGCTGGCTGACCTGGTCGTCGAAAACAAAATGCGTTGCATTTCGGCGGTGTAAAGATGCGGAAGGTTTATGGTGGCAAGGCTGCGCCACACGTGATCATGAGTCGAGATCAGCCCTCCTCCACCACGAAAAACGATCGCATGAACAAACGTCGAACACATTTTTCGCTTCCTAGGCCTAGATACGGAGAGACGAAAGAGGCGCTATACACCTTTCTCCAGAAGCTACAAGCGTAACTTAGGATTCCGGGCCACATGCTGTCCTTGCAATAAAGAAAGACTTCTGGCAGGATGCAGTGCTCGACCTCCTGGTTGGAGTGGGGCTGGCCACGCGTTAGCATGGCGCTCACGCTTAATCATGTCTACGCGCACCTCGATGAATGGATGTGTGGCAGCCCTTAGTCCTTGGTCGATTCACCCTCATTCCCATCATAACCGAATCATGATTGTGGCGACAGTATCATGAACACATATGACTGTACACAGCTCCAACGCATGCCATAATGTCACAAACACATATCACCGAATACAGCTTCAACGCATCGTAAGAGGCCGAGCGGTCCGGCGCTTGTCGCGAATAGAGGAGGGGCGACCGAGGAGCCAGGCCGCGTCGTGGATGGCGGCTATGGCGGTGCAACGCATATGGAGAGGGCTCAAGGGGCGAAGAAAACTGGGTCAGGTGTGTGTGTACAAGGTGCACCGAGGGGTGGCCTTGTTCGTGGGCTATGACATGTCAGAAGTCAAAACAGTGTGTGACACTCGTTGTGGCGTTTTGTGGTAAACAAAGCACCGAACGTTATACACCGCATGTCGGAGGAGGTGGGCTCCTAGGCAATACTGGTGTGGATTTATCGTAGTTACCGCCGAGGGTCAGATCCGTCGCTGTCCCAATATCCGCCGACCCCGCTCAGTGCTCGCAACAAGTACTGCCGCTGCGACATATCGTCCCCCTACGATGCGATGTGAAGCTTACCCGTCGATCGAACCATTGACATCAAACCTCTTTGCGTCGACCGCCTTCTCCACACCAAGAGAGCGGCCGAGCATCGTTTGTGGAATGCCGCCTTCACGATCCAGTCGGCTCACCGGCGGCAGTGCATGCGGCGCCGACGGCAAGAAAGGGCCCTCAAGCGCGGGATGGAAGCCGCCAACGCCGCCGCCGCTTTCAGTCAAGGCCTTGGGCACGCCGTGAGCGTGGCGGGGGCAACGGCAGCGGTGGCAGCGGCGGCAGCGGGCGGGGACGACGGCGGCAGGCTTAGCTTTGCCGACACAACAGAAGAAGCCGGCCAACGTGCTGCTGGTGATGGCGCCGGTGAGGGAGCAAGGAGCATCGACCGTTTGGAAGGTGCTGCCGGCGCGGCCTCTCCTCGCGGGGCGGCGGACACCGGTAGTAGTGCAACAGCCGCCCACGGTGGCACGGCGGGCGGGGCCAGGGTTGACGACCCGCCGGCCGTCGAGGTGAAAGTCGCACCGACGCCGGAGTACGAAGACATGGGAGACGTTGCCATCGCGGCAGTGCTACAGTCGGCCAAAAAATCTTCGACCCCGTCGTCGCCGCCGCCCTCTCCGCCGGTGCCGGTGCCGGTGCCGGTCCCCGCGGTCGTGGAGCCGGTGTTGGTGCCGGCTAAGCCCGCCGACCCGCCGCCGCCGGTGGTGGAGGAGGAGATGTTGGAGTACTACGAGGCGAAGCTGAGGTACCTGGCGGCGCAGGAGAAGGCGCACGGGGCATCTGCTGCCAGGATCCAGGCGAGTCCAACCGTTGATACGGTTGTGTTTGTTTTTGTTGTTGTTGTTGTTGTTGTCGTCATTTTCGTCGTTGTCGTTGTTGTGGTTATTTTCGTCGTTGCTGTTTTTTATTTTTCACGATAGTCCTCGCGCTCGTACTGTCCAACCAAAGTCGGCGTGTGCCGTATCTTCTCCGGAGGAAAGCATCCCTCATCATAAAGCTAAGAACGACAACTGCACAGGAGTGTCAAACCATCGTGAGCAGGGAGAGGGACCAGGAAGTATGTGGCACGAAAGAGCACGGCTACGATCTACATACGGGTACCATCTTCTCTCGAATATCTTTCATCCATACAAGCCGCGGCCAAACACTTCCATTAGGCCATGTTCCGAGCATATGAGGCAAGACAAAGAGCTGCAACGCTCGGGGCCGAGAGGGACAAGGCCGAGCGGCGGAAGGCGGCGGAGCTTCGGGCGGCCTCGGTGCTCCAGTCAGCCGCCAGAACGCGGGCCGCGCGACGGGCGGTCGCCCGCAGGCGCGCGGAGATATTGGAAGCCTCTCGGAGGGAGCAAGGGTTGCTCACAATACAGGTGCTTTCAGCAGGGCGCAAGAGGCACGTTCAGGCACCTTTAGAGTCCTCGAATGTTTGATTCGATTTTAGCGGTGTCCATAAAGACGTCTAGGTTCGACGGGGATGCATCGTGTATTTAGCAAGGGCAGGGCGGGCGTCCGCCGCGAACACGGTTTCAGAGGAACAAGTACGTTCTTGGCAGCGCCACGGTTTCTACAACCCAATTTTGATAATTGCGATGTGTGATGAATAACATAGTCACGTTTGAACATGGTTCCTTGTTGTGATGGATGGATGGTGGTCGATGGGATGATGGGTGAAGACAATGACAGGGGTTTGATTGAGGACGATTGACAACGATGAAATCATCTCTACAGGGGACATTTGTTTTGACGCCACCGATACGAGCAGGTATCAAAAAGTGGTACCATTTCGTTTCTCCGTGCTACGGAAACTCAAGAATAGGTGCCGGGGGGGGGGAGTATAGTCGCAACATTCTCCGACAAAAGCAGCTAGAAGGAAGACATGTGTCCACCGACACATAGATAGACTCGAAAGAAGAGCTATGACGATTGACAGATCTGTTTAAGTATTCTGCTGCTCCGTCTTCCCACTGTATCTACGATGATTGTGGTGTACACGCTCAACAGCTTGTGGACAACACCAGGCGCCTTCCAACTTTGATGTGTCCCGCACCGTCGGGGGGGTGTCACGCTTCTTTGAGTAATCGATGACTGCAACAAGCGTGCGTTTCCTCCTCAACGCCTGCCTCTCTAATCCATAGTTCTTGACTGCCTTCCTTGCGTTCTCCCGCCCGTTTGTCAGTGCGCCGTGCGGTGCTATCTGGGGAAGTGCCGGCTGCAGGGTTTGAGGAAGGCGGAGAGGGAGAAGCAGGAGATGTTGTTTCGCATGGCGGCCCGAATACAGGTAGGTGGGCAGGGTGGGTTCCGTAGCAACACGAGCACGACCGGTCGTTCGAAGATGATGTCTTTCACTACTACGGCGTTGCTTCGCACAGCTGCTGGTTTTGTCTTCATTCTCCTTCGTTTTCCTCTTGTTGATGTGAGGGAGGCAAGGGCACAAAAAAAAACGAGTGCGGGGTAGGCTCAGTTGCACCCCCCCTTTGCTCCCCTCTCCCTCCTGCCTCGACCGTCGTGTCTTTGATTACTTCTTCGGTAAGGCGCTTGTGCGGGGGATTCAGACGAGAGGTATTTGGAGGAAGTTCTTCACGAGCAGAGCTCTATTGCAAAGGGAACGACAGCGGACGGGCGCGCAGCAGATACAATCCTTCTGGAGGTATGTATGAAACGAAGACAGATTATGAATAACCTAGTGCCCCCCCGGTTGTTGTAGCTCCTCACTCAGAAGAGAAGGCGAGACCATGCGGTACGTGACTACCACGAGGAAATGGCTACAAAACGACGGGAAGACCAACAAAACATGGAGAAAGTCCACCGGGTGTATTGTCGTAATTAAAGCCATAGTGCGTCAAAGATGTCCGATTGTTACCCAATAACAGAGAGAGAACAGGCAAGAAGAAGAGTTTGCCGGCCTGCTAGCGACTAGGAAATCTGTTGGCACGCTTGCCGGCCGGTTTCTTCGGCGCCATGTTACAAGCAACCTTGACGAGCACTTTGGGAGCGACCGACCTGTGTCTGTCTGTCTCTCTCCCTCGGCGCGCCCACTCCTTCTCGCTCTAATGCACCGTGGTGCTCTGTAGGCCAAGCATTCGCTCCTCCTTATCTGTCCCTCCCCCGTGCCACCTCGAGCCGGTGAAACCTAGCGCTACGCTTGTCCCAGGTGGAATGCACGGGTCTATGGTTGGAAGAATAAGCCCAAGAACGCAAACGAACAGCTCCGTCTTCCCTCCCTCCCTCTTCTCTCCCTCCCGCTCTCCCCGGTTCCCCCTCTCTCGGTGGTGAGTGAAGATCAAAGCTGGCGAGGACGGAGGCCGAACGGCGGAGAAGCGTGAGGGATGCCGCCTTGCTTGCGGAACAGCTGGAAAGGTGGGCTCTCCGGAAAACAGCTATTCCAACCTGTCAACGGCGAAGTATTGGTTGGCACGCATCTGCGCTGATATGGTTGTTGCTGTCGTGGTCGATGTTGTTGAGTTGATGTTCCTGTATCGGCTATTGCTGTTGGTAGTTTTTGTCGCTTCTTGAAGTGGCGAGTAAGACGGTTCGAGCGATCTTCTAGCGGGGGGGGAGGAGGTGGGGAACGACAACAAACTTGTTCTCCTTGCAATAGGTTTCCCTCTAGGGAAGACAGCTGGAATGGGGCGACAACGCTTCGCCAGGATATCTCCGCTGCTGGCAATGCTGCCATTGCGCTGTAATGAACAACGCCTTCGTATTTGTTTCAGTAACCACAAACGACGAACAGCACTTGGCGGTTATTCCAGAAGAAGGAGAAAACCACGATCCACCTATCCCGCTGTCTTGCTTGTTTGCTCCGCCGGCCAATCGCTCGACCACCACCAACACATCGCACCGAAAACAAACAAACTGGTCGAAGCAGGCACCTGAAAGGTCTGCTCGAGGCGACGATGGAGGCGGAGCGGCGGCACGCGTACGCCATCCGGCTGCAGTGCTGGTGGAGGGGAATCCTTGCCGTCAAGGTCAAGGCCCGGAAGCAGCTGACACTGATGGAGACGCCGCCCGAGGACGTGGGGGAGGAGAAGGAAAAGGCGGCTCTTGCGCTGCAAGTAAGCGCGCTATACATGCAGTTGTTTGGCGGACATCGTTTGCTTGTCATGGTTTGCTAGTCGATCCATGCGATGATGGATTTCGTTTTTTTAAGCTTGACGTCACTTGCTCACTACCGGTACGCTTGTCCATGGTAACTTTTTTTGCTGCTCTTTTCGGTAATTCTCATTTGCTTGTAGTCAAAGCTGTGGAGGAGGGGCAGGAAAAGGCCTCTTCCGTTTGTAACAGGTATTTATAGTTGGGGAATGTATTCGTGGATTCGGTTTACTTACCGTTGTTGCTGGGCAGCCTATGACCACTGAAATGGAAATCGTTTTTGATTAGTGCTGAAGGTGTACTTGGTAAAGGTCAGATATGCTAGTAGGCCACAACATCACGACGACCACGACGACCACGACCACGACCACCACCACCACCACTACTACCATCAACAACAACAACAACAACAACAACAACAACAACAATAGTATCTGCATGTTCTTCAGCAATATGACGAGAAATCCCCGGCTGATTCCAGTGATTATTGTCAGGCTGTCTGTATTCCTATTCAGTCTAGTCATGGCATTTTTCTTCCTATAGACCAATCAACGACGAACAGCCAGCCGCATGGCAATGTTCGCTGTCACAGTTTTATCTTGAACACTGGAATGATTTTCCGACCATGTCTTGCCCGCCCCCTCCCCCCTACCCTTCCTAAACCTGCTCTGCGACCAAAACACGTTCAGTGTCACTGGCGAGCAATCAAGGCCAGGCGCTTCTACAACGCAAACTATGCCTTGTTGTATCGGGAGCGTGAGCGCAGAAAGTGCTGTACGGAGTGCCAGAGCGAGTACGCCACTCGAAAGTGCGACACGTGCACAGACAAGTTCTGCGAGGGTTGCTGGGCGCGCATCCATAGCACGGTACGTGCGCTTCAGCTTAGGGAACACACACAACACACGCATCCATGTACTGTTGGCCGACGGATTTGAAGGCTCGCAGTCCACGCTCTTGGCTTGCGTGGGATGGCGGCAACGTCAATCCTACTCATGCTAACTACTCTTGTTCTTGTTGTCGTCATTGTTGCCAAGGTATTCCTACCTTCACATCGGGTGCAAACCTATTGTGTGCGCAGGTATTTGTCTGCTGCTTCAACAAAAGATCTCCGCGAGACTAGGCTCGACGTAGGCAATGACTTATTGTACGCGTAGTGTACACAAGGTGGTTTCGCGTTTAATTTTCAAGTCTTCAGTTTTTTATCACCGACGACGTTGCGGAGCTTGTCTTATCGTCTTCTTCACACAAGGGGGTGTAGAGCAAGACCTCGTCCTTTCGTTCATTTTCGGTTTCTGTTCTCCTCAAAAGAAATGCTGTCTCTATACTCGCTTCCACGTGTTGTTGTATATCCATTGTACCTTGGCATGTGTATCTCGGTTCTTGCCCTGTTATAGAAACAAAAATTGTCATCCGTGGCAAAGTGGTGACTAGAATATGTCGACTGAACAACTGCTCGTGAAACGAGCACACGTTGCCACGCTTGATCGCAGGCAACTGGAGAGTATCAGATCTGCAGCGGACCAAGTCGATACCCTCGAACTAGCCTCAGGGTCGCATAAACCCCACAAACCTATGATCAGCTCATGCGTCGATTCAACGAAAGCACAACCAAAACGTTTTTGCTCTTTCTGCGCATCCCCCCCGCACCCCTCCCCCCCCTTCTTGTCCCGCACGTCCCTCCCGTCATACAGGGTGCACGCCGTTTCCACGACTGGCTGCCCTTTGCGCCCGCCACGTACGACACAAGCAGACCACAAGACGCCACCGCAGCCCCGTCCATCACCGACAGCCAGTACTATTACGACACAAGCACGGGGCAACAAGGAACAGGAGGAGGAGAACTGTGGGACGTCAATCAACAATCGGCAGAGCTAGACCCGTACTACCAACCTGGGTACGAGTCCTACGACTACCCCGGGAGCGAGTACTACTACGACCAGCGAGGCTGGGAACAGGAGGGCGGCAATCAGCAAGTCTCGGCGGTTTCTGTGCAGGGCTGGTCCCCGGAGACCAACAAACAGTGGTACGACCCCGACCAGCCGCCGTCCACCGGCAGCGAGTACGGCTACGACGGGGCCATGAGCTACGATGGTGCAGCGGCGATCACGCCATCGTCGTCGTCAGATTACTACCCCGCGTGGACGCCCGAGACGCCGGACACAGCCGCCGACAACAACAGCAATGCCGCCGGTACCACAGAAAAGTCCTGGGAAGGCGAGGGAGACGGCGAGTGGACTTCGGCAGCAGCGGAATATTATGGCTACGATTCCGCCGGCAACGGGGTGGATCAAGCGGCAGGCGGGGCTTGGGCGGGGGCAGGAGGAGTCGCGGGGGGCTGGGACGAAGGGTGGGCGACGCCCCAACCGGCGGACACAGCCAATGGTGACGAAGATTCCTCGGTGTTCCTTGCGTCCACCGGCGGGGAGACGAGCAAAGACAGCGGCGGTGGCAGTGGCGGCGTGGGGGGGGCACCCCCGAGCGGGAGCAGCGGCAGCCGGCCGTGGTCGGTGAACGAGTACGGGCAGAGGGTGGCCGGGGACTGGGTGGAGTACTGGGACGACGCCGCGCAGGCGGCGTACTTCTACAACACAGCCAGCGGGGAGGCAAGTGATCCTATGCGTGGGAAGATACGCGGCGCGAAGAGATTTGCGCAGCAGTAAACGGGATTCTATTGGTTCATTTGAGTCCAACGTTGCTGCCTTTTTTGGTGCGGTGAGGACAACGAACAGCCCACGGAGGACAAGCCCCTAGTTGCGAACTGCTTACCAGTACACGCCGCCCTCCTGCTTATCTCCTTCCACCCCCCGATTTCCTGACCACCATATATACATCCCTCTATATTTGCGGAAAAGTGTTAATCTGCCCTCTCTTCCTCCGCATGCCTCCCATCCACCGCCCAAGTCTCCATTCTTGGCCCCCTGCACCGCCGTTTGAAAGACGAGTAACCCTCCACCCAACGGCCCCAATCTGGTACTATTTTTCCACGAACCCTTCCTCTCTCATTTACTTTCCTGCCCCCCTCCCCCCCCGCCCAATCTTTGGCCTTCCTGGATTGCTGTGTGCACCCCAACCGACGACCGAGCAGGCAAGCTGGACCGAGCCCGCGACGGGATAAATTGTGAAAAACGTAGCACCGGCCGCCTAAACAGCAGGGAGGGGCCATCGTTTGGAGAACCGCCTGTTCTTGGACGTGAAGACTCTCTCAGAACGGTTTTAGTATAGGAGCAATGTGTAGCTGGTTCCCACCGCCGCAGCGAGCATGGCGTAGTGCCCCGGATCACTCTTTATCATATGCCTTGATCCGACTTGTATTGTGTGATACTGAATCCTCTCTAAGCGTGTGTGTACGTATGTCAAATTAATGGTGCCCAATCAATCTCTTCTTGTAGACACAATGTAATGTGTTTTTGTCTAAAGAACAAAGAACTGTAGGTATGTGGAGCGAGATCTGCAATATCAACAGCAAGCAAGTAAGCATGCATGGTGTGTGGTGATGTCGTGGCCTTTTGGCGGCTATGCGCCAAGATTATCGCGATCGATCGTGCTTGCATTTCAAGATTTTTTGTGTGATGAACGCTACCGACTCGACGTTGATTGCAATTTTCTTTCGTGGTCTCCTCGTGTACGCCTTGCACATGTTTCCCACGGTTGGGCACAAGCCGTTGCGAAAGGTACCATCTGCCTGCCCCCCTTTCAACAGAAACGGCATTTGCAAACGATTGCGTTTCTGTGTGGCTGTACAACACCACAACCGCCACCAGCATCGCGATTAAGTTTCTGCGCGGCACACCCCATGCTAGAACCCACAATAAAAGCCAGAGTCTATCTATCAAGCAGGGCACAGTGACAATAAAAGCCATAGTCTATCTATCAAGCAGGGCACAGTGATCCGCATAGTCCCGCACGACACCGCAGACCTATTCATCCCCTACTTCCTTTCACACCCGGAGGATAGTTGGCTTGCCGCCCTTCCCTTCCCATAGACCCTGAGTACTATGACGTGTTGACAGTGGACAGCCACCGGTGCGACGCAGGTGGTTTTCGCTGAGAAGAAGTAGTCAACATCGTAATTCACACCCTACTTTCGCCACACTTCTCTCATCCCCCCTCTCCCGCCCCATAAATTCATGTCTCGCTGCCACCGCCCCCCACGCCTGTCATTCGCGGCTCATTCCGGAAGGGTCAAGGGTAAGCAGGACGGATCCACAACAAGTCCACAGAGCAACTGGCATTTAATTGCACTCTCATCCTTCAGTCTTTCCGAGCTCTCGGCGCCGACCCTGAACCGTGCACTTGCGTATTAATCTGTAACTACCGGTTCAAATCCGAACACTCATGGACAGCATCACTACCTCACAAACAATGACAATCAGCACGTGAGACCATCATATCCCAACATGTTCTAACGTACTACGGATTACCGTGCTCGCTCCCTCTCCGTCCCCGTCACTCAGCTCGCTTGAGCGGTTAAGGGTACTTCCGATACGAAGGCATAAGACAGCTTACGGTACGCCATACAGACACATACCGAGGTGCCATGGGCGTTGATACACCGTAAGCCGCTCAAGCTCAAGATGTGCCAAGTGCACCGCCAACATTACAAGGCGAGACTGATCCTCGTTCTTCCGTACGACAACGAGTAAGATTGTCCTCCGTGTTACATAGCTGCGCTTCGGTCTTCAGGCAGGATCACTCACACCCCCGTCCTAACACTCCATCACACCAACGTGATGAACCCCAACAACCTCTGCTGGTGTCGAACTACACCTCAAAAAGTTTTCAAGCTGCAATCTTCTCTGACTCGACCATGGTGGGGTACCGGGCCCCGTTCTTGTCCGTGTCTTACCAACGCACGGTGCAATGGACAAACGTACAATTACTTTTCAAGTTTCTGCCGCTTGGCTCAAAACTACCCAGCCGATCTCTCCCTGACAACCCATTATTTGGGTGTTTCACGTCCAGAGATGACCCAAGCAGACACACAACAGTGCAGTAAAATCTCCGGTGGGATCGCTGCCCTGCAACATCAACTTTCTGTTATTTTTTCCCCTTTTTTTTCAAGTCTGCCAAACAGTGTCTCCCACCACTGTTTCAGGGCGCGCCAAACCATGCAAGAGGGCCACATTTCATGATGAAAGAGCACTTGATAAGAATGATAAGAACGCACGTTCTACAGTTGACCCTTGTGCCCGCTGTGTGTAGCCCGCGCAAGGCCCCTTGGCTCCCGGCAAGCACATTTCACCGCTATCGTCTCTTGTAGACCGACGGCGACAGGCGGAAGGTACGAGTAAAGCAACTCCTTGCCCACCGGCATGCTCCCTATAGAGGAGAATCACACGTGCTTGTCACGCGCGTGCTCCTTGCCGATGCTTACCTGCGGGGAAAAAAATGTGTGCGTGTGCTTGTGAACCATCAAGGAGGACGAAGCATGTTCGCAACATGCCAAGGGGTGGCAGGCACGTGCAAGAACTGCGTGTTGAGCAAAACAGCTAGCGATACGCAGCAGATTCTTTCGGGCACGGCGATCAACCGAACTGAGTGCAGCGACCCCATGTACTGCCGAGGTCATAACATTAGCACCTTCCTCTTAAAAACCGCCACATGTGCGACATTATTTTCCCGTGTGGCAAGTGCGCTCTACATCAACTTATGGAAGCTCCCTCAACCACAATTAGCACAGCATAGATATCTAGTTCACGGTTAAGCGTCGGACGCTGCTTGCTCGCCCTCACTGTGTTTCTTTTCTTCGTGCAAGGACGGTCACGGTGATGTGGAGGCCTCGGACGCAAAATCCTACCGGTAGCGTTCCCACGGAAGCGTGACCTACCTTGGTGTCGAGCTGACGCGGCAGTGTCCAACGCGGTGTGCCACATAGCGTTGCCTCGGGGTTTTTGAGTCGAGGCTTGTTTCATTTCAGGGTGGCATGACCCCGTACATGTGTTTATATCTGTGCCGCCTCGGTTTCTGCTTTAGTCTGTGGGCGAGTTTCGCCATCCCCGACAAAACGCGGTCTTACCCCGCAACGCCTACAACACTAATGCACCCAACTTTTCGTTTCCACACAGCTCACGAACGGCTGCCTCTCGAAATTAACTCGAAGTAGTGTACATCCACGGCGGTGTGTGACAGTAGTACAGGAAATCCCGATCCCATCATCTCTTTGCCTAAAGACGGAACGTCTTGGAGGGGCTCCGCAATACACGTGCACAGCATACTCTGCTAGATCTGAAAGTTACCGGGGGTGTTGACAGCAGGAGGAGAACAAATGCACCAATACTTCCGCGCAGAAAATGGTAGGTCAATTGAGGCTCACCCCGACGACCAGATTGGTTGCCCCGGCCCTCGGTACACACGGGGCAGTGCCACGTCTCATCTGTGGTTTGGCCGGCGGCGGCTTGCTGGCTATTCAGCCTGACGCGCAGACACCCCAGGTGGAAGACACGGGGGCACTCGTCGCAGCATGTGAGTTCACCCGGATATCCGCAGACACTGGGAGAATCAAATGGGGGCAACAAAACCGGGAAAAACCGGAGGGTATGAGAGGGACGTAGAGAGAACAACGTCAACAGCTAAAACCCAGAAATAACAGCAACAGCAGTATGACTAAAAACAAATGCCGAGAGCAATCGACAAACAAACGCCTGGACGACTGACGGACGACTGACGGACGACTGCCGATGAGAGGCAACAACGTCAGCAATCCGTTGATTCACAGTAGCATGTTCGACATGTGGTCAATGCACTCTGTACTACAAGAAACGCCATACATAGGTACGTTCGAAAGACAAGAAAAATGCACCACGTTGTCCCCTTCTCCCCCTGTCTTTCCCCGGGTATCCTCACCTGCAAAAGAAATGGCTGCCGTCAGCTCCCATCATGATTCCGCCTTGCATCCTCCACGCCTTGTCGTTCTCCTTGACGTGTTTCTGGAGCTTTTTGGATAAAGGGTGGCCTGCCCAGTCTTTCCCGCCCCAGGGGTGCCGCTTCTGCGCCGGTTTCCTCGTGCCGCTTTTCGGGGCTTGGGTCCCCGCTCTTTCCAGGTGTGCCGGCTTTCCATCCGTCCCTTCACCTGCTGCTGTACGGGGACTACCAGCGACAGGAGGAGCAGCAGCAGACTCTCCGGCGGCGTCGGTCGAGGAGGTGGGTAGAGATTGCTTGGCACTGCAACTACCACCATCGTCGTTGATGGTGCTGCTGTTTTTTTCGCCGTCACCACCACGGCCGCTGCCGGTCGCGTACATCTCGCCGCCGGTGCTGCTACCTGCCGCAGAAGAGAATCTGACCGCACCGGAGGAACCTGAACCCTTGCCAGAAAGGTGTCCACCGCCGAGGTGGTACGCGGTCACCGCGGCGCTAGCCGCCGGAGGAGCTCCGAAAGACTGGTTCGCCGCGAAAGTCACGGGAACGGCGGCCATCGAGAATGAGGGGTAAGAGCGCCTGGCGACACTAGAGCCACCCGCGCCCTTCTCGACGAGGTGGTGCGCGGTCTCCGCGGCGCTAGCCACCGGAGGAGCTCTGAAAGGCTGGTTTGCCGCGAAAGCCATGGAAGCCGCAACGATCGAGCACGAGGGGTAAGAGCGCCTGGCGGCACTAGAGACACCCGTGCCCTTGCCGTTGGCGTCTCTGATATCCACCCAGCTAGTGTCGTCACCCTCGCCATGGTGTCCACCACCAGGGTAGTGCCCAAACACGTTCATGGTGCTTGCCGCCAGGGGGACTCGCGCTGCCTGGCGTGCGGCGTGTGCAGCCAGTTGGTCTCGGTATGCCACGGCTAGAGCCGTGGAAGCGGCGGCCGTCAGGGCAGTGGGCGGTGCAATACTAACCAACGGTGACCGCCTGTTCTGGCGGCTCTCGTCGAGGCTGCGGAGGTACCGAGCGGCAGTAGAGACACCCATGCCCCGGCCACTGACGTCTCTGATATTCACCCAGCCAACATGATCACCCTCGACATTGTGTCCACAACCTACCCCACAGATTTTCATGGTGCCTGCCGCCTGGGTGTCTTGCGCTTCCTGGCGTGCGGCGTGTGCGGCCAGTTCTTCTTGGTGTCGGTATGCCATGGCAATAGCCGTGGAAGCGGCGGCTGTCAGGGCGGTTGGCGGTGCAATACTAAACGACGGCGGCGGTGGGCTGTTCCGGCGGCTCTCGCCGAGCCTACGGACGTCTCGAGCGGCACTAGAGGCACCCGTGCCCTTGCCGCTGGTGTGCCTGACGTCCACCCAGCCAATGCCACCACCGTCTGCATGGTGTCCACAAGCGGGATAGTGCCCAAACACCGTACTCGTCGCCAGGGGGCCTCGCGCTGGCTGGCATGCGGCGTGTGCGGCTCGGTCTCGGTGCGCCACGGCGAGAGCCGTGGAAGCGGCGGCGGTCAGGGCGGGGGGCGGTGCAATCCCAAATGGTGGCGGCGGCGGCGGTCTGTCCCGACGGCTCTCGCCGAGGCTGCGGACGTGTTGAGGTGCCATGGCAGTGGCGGCCGTGCTGGAGCTGACCTTGCTCGTGATCCCGCCAGCAGTCTCCGTGGTAGACAACTCCTAGGCACACGTGGGTGGGTGAGACAATCACAGGGAAGGGGGAAAGATCAGGAGCCGGATCTACACAACGCAGTAGAGAGAAACCCAACACATTTATACGCGTACAGTAGCGCTTTCAGCAACACAACGGGGTGATTGTTGAACAACAAATGACAGTGATCGTACAATGTTGCAATGGCTCCTGGATCGCACACAATATACCAACAGCTAAGCGCCCGTACCATTGTTGCTCGAGTGCTAGAACTGCCACTTTCAGATAGACGACTAAAAATAGGACAAAACAAACAAACAAACTGGGTAACATTGTGCTACATATCTTCTCTCAAAGAAATTTCGGTCCATTCCTTCAACTTGCACCAGATCCTCTAAAGAGAACGAGGAAGAGTTGGAGTTCTGTAGGCTCTCGGAAGCCAAGCCTGCTCTATTTGTGCAGGTGAGTCAACCTGAAAGCGAGGTTACCGACGGTCTACCATTGGCATATTTCTGGAGGAAGCTGTCTACATTACATTGGATTCGCGTGTAAACCATTGGAAGCTCGCGCTACTTTTATCCCCTGCACACGAGAGAAATAGTGAAATATTCGTTAACGAACATTATTAAACGAAATATTAAGATTGTATTCGGCACTCACTGCATCCTCGAGAGAAAAAATCGCTGCCTGTGGTGATTTCAAAACTTTTCCGTCAACCAATTGGTTTCACCTATAGACTATATAAATAGTCGGGAAATTGCTGCAGGGTTTTCGCTATGCATCTAGCGCTCTGTCGTTTCGGATGCAGCACAGCACATGACCGATGCGCATTGAACACCGCTACATGTGTACCAATCTTACCTCCTCCAGAGATGCTCTTGTACTGCTCTTCGTCCCCTCGGCTTCTTCTTTTCCCCCGCCACCATGGTCATCGCCGCCGCCAGTGATCCCATGGCTTCGATGACCTCATCACAGACGAGCGTAGTCTCGAGTAAGACATGGCCAGGAAAGCGTGGCGTTCTTCAACACGTCTCAGTCACCAATCTCCTCTTCCGTAGAAGAGATCGCCTCAACAGCAGTTGGTTCGGGCGCATATGCTCATCGCAGACGAGTGAGGAGCACGGGGAGGGCTCCACAGACGGGCACAGCACGCCACAAAAGAACGGAAAACATTTGTGTGGGTTGTATGACTCACCCCCAGAATGGCCTGGACCTCATTCCTGTGCGAGGATCCACCCAGTGGTAGTGGTGGTGTTGCGGTCCTGGTAGCAGGAGAGGACGACACGCTGAGGAATTGCATGGCACACGCTCCCAACTGGACAAACCCAATCACCGTGCAGCACGACGGGGGTTGAGGGAAGGGGATGGGGCAAGGGTCACCGCTGGTTCGAGAATTCGCACTCAGGTAAAACACAAAATTCCAACACAAAATTCCCCAAAACGTTGCGATCTACCAGGACCGCCGTCTTCAAACAACAGGCAGCCCAACAAAGCGTTAAACTCAGTTTCAACATTTAGTGGCATACACCAAATGTTTCGTATTGCGAACATTTCGTATTAAATGTTTGGAAACAGAAGCCCGGGCAGGCGTAGCATGCCCCGGAAGAGAACGAAAAATTTCGTGTAGCGCAAGAGGGGAGTTAGCACCCAGAACATAGAACGGGGCAACACCTCGTTTCCACGGAACTTAACTGGTCTGACAGATGGGAACTAGTGACAAATATGTTCTGTATGCGTACGGCGGTCTCAATGTAACACAAGAGTGAGGTCCGACAGAAAGAACGGTTTTCCAAAATAGACGTATTAATTTAGCCACAGAAACACAAACTGTTCGAGAAGTTTCCGGGGTGCGTCAAAGTCATTTCAACAGTGTTGAGAAGAATCTGCCGCATGCTCGACTTATCTGAGTTTGTTTGAGCCTATACACTGAGAGATGAGCCATGCCAGCCGGCACAAAAACGCCTAGGCAGGCATGTTGTACCTTGTAGCATCTCCTGCAGGTCTCCGTTGGGTGAACGACAAAGACACCGTGAAGAAACCCGCCGCGAGGTCGGATGCTATTCAACGTCTGTCTTTTTGTAATGTTGCACTGGTCTCGCAGTAGATGAGGCCTTCTGACGATGGAGGTGGCACGCCCTGCACACTGCGGTAGACAAACAATCTTGGGTCGAACTATCTAGGTTACGCCCTTGCCTGCTGAAGGTTCGGCCATTGTCTTGGATGGACTCGTTGTTCGTTGAGCTGGACATCGCGACGTGGAATGGTGTTGCGAACTGCACGGCGCCCTGAGAGACTGACAGCAAAGTGACGAACAAGGGACAGGGAATCGGCGATGGGAGGCAAACTTGGGGGTGCTTGCTTCTGTCGGGTTCGAAAGTTGTCCATATCTTCAATCGAAAAACAACACTTCTCTCTGTAGATATACGGGAGGCCGATGTGTCTCATCATAGTCCAACTCAAGGCCTGCTCATCCGCCTCTACCTTCCTAATTTCTTGTTGGTTCCTGTTTCAGGTTTAATTTTAGAACGGCATGGATTGATAAAATATACTCGCCGACGCAGCGGACACCTCTGTAAACAAACCTTGGCTTCAAAGTAAACTCTTGTAATTCAGCAATGGCCTTGCGAGAGGGAACCACAACCTACCATACTGTACAGCATTAGGCGAGGTGAGAGGGATCCACACACAAGGAACCACATTCAATGTAGGCACTTCTGTGTCTTCCCGGTACAATATGCACAACGGAGAATGCAATCACCTGGACCCCGGTTGAGATAGTTATGCTGAGTGTTTGAGGTAGTGCCCCTTGAGACCAATGCACTGTAGTATCAGGCAGCCCAAACATTGATAGATAACATATTTTTGTGAGCAGAGACAAGAGCGAGAGGCCTCCCCCCCCTATGCTGCTACCCACCAACATTGAGATGTATGTACTGCTGTACACCTCTCTACACTTGGGTGTGAGGGTCTAGTGTGCGACCTGTGCCTGCCCTGCTAGTCTCGACACCTATCACACGCCTTTGCACTTGGTGTATACAAAAAGAGTCGAGGGCAGGGCGAGCTTTATTATTGGCTGACGACCACCCCCCTTGTGAATCACCGTCGCCCCTCCAGACCTCAAAACGGACGCACTAGCCTGCAGGTACAGTATATTGTACTTGAAGTATAATTTACCTTTACCTCGAAAATATATTCAACCCCCCGCAACCTCGTGCAAATCATGCTACGGACCAACAGTAGGTCAAGTTGTTGACATCAACCCAGCGGGAATAAACGAAGTGTTAATCGAAATCAAACCCGAGGAACAGTCAATCAAGCAGTAGGTCCGAGCATTGACCTTCCTCAGTCAGGAGGGATTTCTCCTGCACTCCTTGAACAGCGGTGCACAAAATGTTTTCCATCTCTCTTCTCTCAGTGAGAATTCTTTGCAATCTTCGAGTGATTGTATGTATGTAGTAGAGATGCTGTGTGTGAGCGCTGATTTAAAGCGATGAAAGAAAGTGTTTTCCACAAGAGGTGTCTGTAGTCTAATAAGGCTAGTACCAGAATACGTGTAACGGACGGTCTCCGATATATCTTTTGGATATCTTGCAGGTATGATCAAGGTAGTTACCAACTGTGTCAGGGAAACCCCAGCCCTTGCCACCCAAGGAGGTTAGAGTGCGAAAGAGTTCAGCGACATACGTGCTCTCTCTCTCTATCTCTCTCTCTTTCTCTCTGCCGCTTGTACCCTCCCTCGAACTCTGGAAAAGCAAAAAGAAACCCTTAGGATACAGAACCCAAACACGTTCATGTTCCAGTCAAAGCCTGCAACTGGGAATACACCATGCTATGACCCAGTGCAGATGAAAGGCCGAGCCTAGCCTTGTCTCTCTGCCTCTCTGTCTTCTGTCTGTCTCCAGGCCTGGCTGTTGGATCCGGTGGTTATTAGATACCACCAACAACTCGCAACCATCATCCACCACGCGGATCTATCTTTGCACCTTTTCACCTTCGATTTGTGGCGGAGTTGTCTCCGTGGGAGAGAAGTCTGCCCTTGCCTTCTGCTGCCACTGCACCCCAAGAAGGTGTGTACTGTAGTCCTCTCTGTTGGTGTGATGGTAGCCACTGCTGTGCACGAGGAAACGGAGAGAGAACGGTGTATGAAGTGGGAAGTGGGAACCGGGGGAGACGCGGCGGGACGCTCGGGAATGGAGATGTCACTTACCCGTATGAAAAAAAAAAAAATGATCTTCCCCCTGTTCTTTCGCTCTTTCTCTGCCTCTGATATCCGTCCAAAACGATTTGCGAAATCTCTCTACTCTGTCGGCAGGATAGAGCACACACCCAGTAAAGGAGCGTGTCTGCTACTGCACATGACACGACCGACCGTGGTGTGTAGTGTACACGCTGCTCCCGTTAAGTCGTGTGTATGTACCAAGAAGACACCTCACTTCTCCGTACCTGGTTGGTAGCACCGTCAAACTGGCTCTCTTCCACAGCACCAGTGTAAGTAGATCAGAACGAATCCGCCCAACCTTGTAGCTTGCGATGGCAGCAGGAGCCGCGTGAGCCCGATTGTGGAACTGCGGGCGATTATGCGTGGCACATCATCTTGAGAAAATGGAATCGAAGCAGCCAGTGATACGTGTTGTGAGCACTGTAGAGACGAGAGAAACCTTCACCGGTTATCTGCTGGTCTCATTGCACCTTACAGCAGCAGCAACCATCCTCCATGGTACATAATAGCTGAACACACACATATCAGCACAAGATGACAAACAAGAGCGGTAGCAACAACATAGCTACTACAAGCTTGCTGCCTTGGCTGCTGCAACTGATTCGGCACGACCTTTTTCTTGGGGGCAAACATCCAGGGGCCCCCGGAAAACATTTCTTATCTTCGGAGACTTTCTGCAGCAGCCGTGTACATGTAGAGTGTACATAGTCCAATAAAGAACGACGTATGCAATAAGGCGCGTCAGGCAGTGGTAGTAGGGGAATACGTCGCCGGGAGTGACAGCGATAACGTTGGAAAGTTCATGCAACTCACGTGATGTTGCCGAGTCTGAACGTGGCAACTGCAGCGTGGTCGCCGTGTCTTCAGCGACAGCGCCAGTCGAAAGCCTACTACGTACGGTACACACGTCTTTGCCAACAATTAATTCATTTCGCCTGGACATCCGACAAACACGCAGAGCCTCCGTCCACATCTCGCCGCGGACTTCGGTAGATCGATGAATGTGTGTCACGGGCGGAATGGTATTAAGCTTGCGCATGGCGCGCGTCTGCTGCATTCGTCGTCAGGGGAGATTCATCATGCGTTTCCGTTTTCACAGGGTTTGCAGACAGCGGCGGCTCCCTTTGCTCGGAATTGGCATCGATCGAGGTAGAAAGTCTAGACACTTACTTCAGTTTCCTCTGAAAGGCGCGCTCTTGTCGGTGTGCTCTCTCGCGCATACGTTCTGCCCAAGCGATATTCATTTTCCTCGCCCAGCTGTGACTAACGGCAGAACGGCAGTACGAACGCGGCCCAGTGCCCAGTGACAGAAATATTGTTCTGTCTCAGCTACTGCACTCCGACCGGGAACCGACACGAACTTGTGTTCCTTTTTACAAGGGGGAGAGGGGCAGGGGGCAGGGTCCCGAAGCGAGAGTCAAGCGAAAGGGTTATAGAGACAACAAGCACTACTGCTGTAGGGTTAACATGTATCGGAAAGGACAAATAAGGAGAGAGTGTGAGGCGTGGATGTGGTAGGGTCATGGACGAATGGATGAGGTTTGAGATTGATTCTGGACTGGCTGTGTTTTCGTTTGTGGCACGCCGCGTCCACCTTCAGCCGCCCAAACGGCGAGATATGCATACAAGACTACTACTACTACTACTGCTGTCTCACGAAAAAAATTGAGTCCGACATTGCAATTCAATTCTTGAACAACCTATTTCGTACAACTTTGAGTGTCGAGAGTTGGGAACGACTTGCATTTACTCTTCAAACTAAGAAACCGGGCTGGCACCGTCCAATACACAACCTCGACGGCGAGTGAAACACACACACCCGCCCGCGCACGGTGCGATTCTCTCTGTGGTTTCTGTCTGGTCTGCCGCTGGATTCTTCTGGTTCTGGGGGCTTCGCAGAAGACAGTCTATAGAAGACGCCCCCCCCTTGACAATAAGTTCAAAAAATTGGTTTGTGGTGTGGTTACTTGCTCCGCCAACGCGCGCGTGGCCGACATAC